GAGCTAGTAAGGGTGAAAGAATATAATAAGAAAAAATAAAATAGAATCTCTCACACACTTAAGTTAATATTAATTATTAATAGAAGATATTATATTAAAATGCTATTTCTAATTCTTAATATTAAAATACATAATATAATATTAGATAAAATATAGCTTGCTAAGTATAATATCTTAATAGATTACTAGAACTGATAATTAATTTAGTCTAAAGATATCTTTTTAAAAGATTAAGCTATAAAGACTAATTATTATATAATTCTTAGGGTTATTTTGTAATAGTCAAGAGATATTAATCTATAATATTAAAAGAATATAATATACTATAATTATTTTATAGAAATAGAGGACTAGATGATAAAAAAACTTAATCTAAGCTGCTTTTAGGCCTAAGGCTTAGAAGCAAAGAATCTCACCAACTAATTAGAAGCCTTAAAATTTGATTTCTTATATATAAAGAAATTAGTTAATTAATTAGAAGAGAAAAAAGTCTAATTAAATATTCTTTTATTTCTATTTAGAAAGGCCACTCTAATTATATAGAGCTATATATATTAGCAAAATCATTAAGAATCACTTAAAAAGATAAGAAAGATCTTAACTAAAGTTTTAAAAGAAGAAATAAAGAATAAGTTAAAAAAAGAATTCTTAGATGTAAAGTAAGAATAAATATGTTAAAAGAAAGTCTAAGAAATATTAAAGGAAATAGATATAATATTTATTAGTATAGTAAGATTTAGTATAAATACTAGGATAAAGAATTTAGTCTTATTAATAATAAATCTCTATAAGATTAATAATGTTATTAAGGTAAGGAAGGATCTACTGAAATCTGTGGTGCTTAATATTAAAGAAATCTAGAAATAATTACTAGAGATATATAAGGATTATATAGATATATTCTTAAAGGATCTATTAGATTAGTTACTAACTTCTAAATCTTATAACTATAAGATTGAACTGATTAGAAAGAATATATTAGGATATAGCCCTTTTTATAAGATAATTTTAGAAGAATTAGAAGTGGTGTATAAATATATTCTTAATAACCTTTATAAAAGATTTATTAAATTAAGTAATATTCCCTTTATATTATTAATTTTAATAATTAGTAAATCTAGAGGGGGAATATAATTCTATATTAATTACTGAAAATTGAATATTATAATTAAGAAGGACTAATATCCTCTGTCTTTAATTAATAAGATTCTTAATTAAATTAATAAAGCATAGGTTTTTATTAAACTAGATATTTAATAAGATTTTTATTAAATAAGAATATATCCTGACTTAGAAGATTTAATTATCTTTTATATATAATATAGTATGTATAAATACAAAGTAATACCTTTTAAAGTAATAAATAAATTAGTAATATTTTAATATATAATTAATGACATTTTTATAGATATACTTAATAGATTTATGATAGCCTTTGTAAATAACTTATTAATTTATAATAAAAATAAACTTAAGTATTAAGTATATATTAAGAAGATGTTTTAATATCTTTAAAAGATAAAATTATAAGTGGCACTCTATAAGTATAAATTCTATATCAAGTGAATCAAGTTTCTTAGATTTATTATTATATTAAATAGTATTGAAGTTAACTCTAAAAAGATTAAAATTATTTAAAGATAGAAGTCTCTAATAAATATAAAGAAAGTATAATTATTTCTAGGATTTTATAATTTCTATTATATTTTTATTAAATGCTATAGTAAGATATTATAATCATTTAATTAACTAACTCAGAAAGAAATATTCTTTATATAAAATAATACTTATAAAGCAGTATTTCAGGAACTTAAAAAAAAACTAATATTAATCCTAATTCTTAAGTATTATTAGTATAATTTAGAAATATAATTAAAAACTAATATCTTAAAGGAAGTTATTACAGCAGTATTATTTTAATAATATATTAATAATAAATAGCATCTAATAGCTTATTTCTCTAAAATAATAGACTTTATATAAGCTAAATATAATATTTATAATTAAAAAATACTAGTAATAATATAAGCCTTAGAGATATAATAAGCTAAGCTTTAAGAATTAACTAAAAATAAATTTATCTAAATTCTTATTAATTACTAAGCCTTAGAATATTTTATAATAATAAAGAAATTTAATAATAGATAAGTATAATAATTAGAAACTTTTTCTAGATATAGTTTTTATATTAAATATTAACCTAGACTCTTAAATAAGAGAGCTAATACTTTAACCTAATATATAAAGAACAACTAATAATCTAAGGAAAAAAATCTTTTATTATTACTTTCTAATTAACTTAACTCTCAGATTATAAAGGAACTCTAAGAATAGGATTATATATAAAAAATAGAATCTAAGTTAGAAATCTTAATTATTATAGATAACACACTATATATTATTACTAGAATCCTGAAAAGTAATTAAGAGAGTTAGAAGGTTATAAAATATTATAAAATAGCTAGGGATCTTAGATCTAACTAAGATTTAACTAATAATTAATTAATATTTAAAAAGAGACTTTATATGCTAGATAAGAGAGATCTTAAAGTATAATTATTAAATAAGATATATTAATAATCTATTATTACTTACCCTAGAAAAAATAAGATAAAAAAACTATTAAAAAAATAATATTATTGAAAGATATAGAACTAGGATATTAAGTAGTATATTAATAACTATCTTATATATAAGAGAATAAATATATATAGACTTACTACCAGGATTGTTAAAGCTACTATCTATATTTATTTAATTATAATAATATATATTAATAGACTTTATATCTTACTTAGAGGATAAGTGCAATTTTAATGCAGTCTTTATAATAATAGACTAATTAAATAAAAGACTAAGATTAATTCTTTATACTAAGAATATTATAGCTAGAAAAATAGCTAGACTATAGATCTAATATATATTCTCTAAGACTAATCTACTAGATTTAATAATATTAGATTAAGAGAGATAATTTATATTAGAATTTTAAATAGAGATATGCTATATCTTAAAGATTAAACTAAAGCTATTAATAGCATATTATATATTTATAAATAAATAAATCAAAATTATAAATTAATATCTTTTAGTTTATCTACAATCTTATATTAGCTTCTATCAAGATAATTAATCTAAATAATTACTAATAGTAGACTTTACTGTAGTATTCTTATCTTAAGAATTAACTAGACTATTATTATTTAAGATTAAGAGAGGTTTTATACTAAGGATATTATTTGATTAATTACTACTAAATGATAAGAATTTTATATAGAATTAGAAACAAGCCTAAATCTAGATAAAACACTTATAATAGATATAGGATTATATAAGACAGAATATAATATAAGTATAAGAATAGTAGAAAATATAGATAAATAAATATTAATAAGAGATAGATTTTAATATTAAGAATAAAGTTATATTGATAATTGAGTATCTTAATAATAGATAATCTAGTTAGAAGCTTTCTTATTAGAACTTAAACCTATTTAAGATTATTATAAAAAAAGGAAATATATTTAAGTTAAAGCTCCCTAAATATTTTTAAATATATTTAGTTTTCTTACTAGATAAACTTTAAAAGGTATACTTAATAGAACTGTTATTAGGGTAGATTAAGAACTCTTTATTATCAGTTAAAATCAATGATTATGATGAATGGGAAATCAAATAGATTCTTGATATATAGATGTATTACTGAAAACTGCAGTACTATATTTAATAATAAGATTATAATAATAATATAATGTAGTACCTGGTAGGAAATTTTAAGAATATATTAAATATTATAAAGATATTCTATAATTCTTATCTAGAAAAATCTAGATTACTATTATATTTGAAGAATTAGCTATATATAACTAAGAAGGATAAATTTTTATCTAATTATAATGAGAATAATATACTATTATTAACTTAATATTTAGAGCAAATATTATTTAGAATAAGAGGTAATATAATAGCCTAATATAATTTAGCTTAGTAGCACATGATTACTATGGAAATACCTATAAGTTATCTTTTATAGATAAATTATATATAGAAAAGATGTGGGGCTAGATATATCTTATAAGGATTATCCTATATTTTAATTTATACTATAGATTACCAAAGGATTTATATAATATCAAGAAAGGTAAATAGCCTTTACTAGCCAGTATTCTATATTGTTAAAACCTTTCAGAAATCTAGATTACTAGGCACCAGCACACAACAGAGATAGCTTATAGGTATTTAGAATGGAAAGAAGTATAAGTAGGAGAAAGGGGGCTAGTAGTTATTCTTTCCTCTTCTTCTTCTCTCCAGTTTAGTCTCTTCGTGTTTAGCGACCAAATAGATTTGGCATTGCATCGTCACAGAAGTGCTTTAAAGTATTATAATACTTTAAGTAAGTTTATCTTACTGACCCTTTTAGTATATAATTAAGTAATTTAGATTAAAGAGCTATAAAGAATTAAATATATAATAATAAATAAGTATTTATATATATTTAGTCCTTTTTATTCTATATATTATATATTATATACTTCTAAAATAGATAATAAAAAATATATAATTCCTTTTTAATAAGTATTGAGTATTCTATATATTCTTATCTTATCTAAGATAAGAATATATTTTTTATATCTTTATATAATATTAATATATATACTATTATTACTTTATATGCTTTATATATTGATAATCCCTTATATACTATTGCCAGTGACTGGCTTCTAGTTAATCCAGTATAAGCCCATACCAAATCACTCTATCCTTCTTCTGGAGTAGTTCCTCCTAGTGTCATGCATGTCGTTTCATAACAGAATCCGTTGTTAACTTTTTACCCACTAATGCCAAGGCGCTAAAGTGAACAGGATCATTGCCCCACTTATCTAGTAGGACCCAGTTACGGTTACATTACCTATAATTAATAATCGCAAGGCATCTATCTCTTCGTTTCTTGTGTTCATCCACCACTCTGTCCATGAAGCTTTCCTCTCGATGTCATCAAAATGTTGGACGCACTCAATAAAATCTTGTATAATCTCCAGTTCGGCAATCATCAGGCCAAAGTGGAGAAGTATCTCAACGAAGCAACCACGGGTGAGTGACGACGAGCATATCCAGTGAATATCAGACTGACAGCGGGAGTTCAGATTCGGTGTTGAATGATATTGGGCAAGTTCTAAAATCAACATTATCAGACACCCGGGGTTTGCGGTCAATATTTGAAGCACACTGTTTTACTGATGGCGGCGAAGAACGATGTCAGTATTGCAATTATGTTTGTTCGCAATGGTAACTAATTGAAAATAGTCTGGACTAAAGCAAGTCTAAAGCACCATATTAAGAGTAACCATCCTAGTATTATCATCACTGAACCCACAATCAACCTCCTCTGGCGATGCTTTCAGTTCCATGCCTACCACCCATTCCCACGGCACGACGTGCATCAAATCCATGAAAGTGCCTTTCAGCGTGCGTTTATGCTTCTTGCTCTGCGAGGGACAGACATCCTAGGCACCGAGGACGGAGGAGATTACTTTTGGCGGAACGATACTGATTTCTTCCATGATGCCGACTTCAGACGAATTCTAAGAAGTATTAGCCATGCATCTGCTCAGAATGAGTCTCGTCCGGGAATCTCTATGTCTGTTATTAATGATGCTATGGACGTACTAGCTACGACACAGCCTCACATGGTGACTTTGGCACCGTCGCCAGATTTACTGGAATCTGCAGCTGGGAGGCTTCTTGAGAGCGTTCCGGTGCGGGACGAGTTACGGGCCGACGATTTCTCAATCCTTCTAGCCTTGCTATTGCAATTGAGAGTGCATAAACAAACATGGAGGATGAACCTTCATTTTGGCGAGTTTGATCAGGGGCCGAGGTGTGAGGAGCTTGCTAGAACTATAACGACTGGGATCTTTGTGCAGGGGAATCTCAACTCTGACACGTATTACAAAGTGATAGATGTCTTGGTTAGTGGGCCGATATTTTATAATTACTAAGGGTCTAACTTCTCTTCCAGCCAAGCCTGCGGGCACAATTCTACCAACTGTGGGCAGTACTCTTTCAACCGGCAAAGCGTAAAGAAGAATCGCAGTCCAACGCATCTCTAGCGGCTGATGTTATACCAAATGTGATCCTCCAGACCATCTCACTACTTACACCTCAGCCATCAGTATCGCGCCACTCGCCTTCAATATCTAACGATGAGGGTAGTGTTTTTCACATTTCTACCCAGCAACTCACGGCACCGGGTGATGTGACAATAACCCATCTCCTGAAATATCTTATGGATGACACGAAACATCCACATGTTGTCCTTTTCGTAAACAACGCATCGTCTAGCGTATTTGGTGCATACTTTCCCGTCCCGTTGTCGCAAAAAGGCAAGATTGGACGTGGCCATTTCCTCTTTCAACTAGCACCACAATTTCGTCTCCTTCAATGGACCAGCCAACCTATTCCTCTTGCTGATCTCATTACCGTTCATGGTTCCAATTCCGTGCTGCTAGATACAATTCGGGCAGGTGAGATGCTGCCATCTACACCATATAGAATTGGCGATCCGGGAGAGCAAGGCAACAGTGGTAGTCTATGGATAAATCCTGGTACCAGGTCTATTCAACTAACTAGACAATTTCCAAACAGTGGCAGATACAAGGCTCTGTGTGGTACGGGAAGGGAGGTCAGTGTAGATGGGAAGGAGTCGAGCACGGAAATCGATCGTCTTTATATTCTCCGCATGTCCACTTTTGGGATAGATAAAGATTTTGCTTTCCAAAACGACATTGACAATAAGTACCGTGCCCCCTCTGCTCAAGCAGGTCAATTCATTCGAGGAGCGGAGCTGAAGACGAGAATTCAGGGCTTTGGGTCGCCGCTGTAGGGGTGCGAATCTCTCTGCGGGTTAAAATTGTGTATAGTTAACTATGTTGGTTTCTCGTTTTCTGCGATTTCTACTTGCCTAACAACCATCTGCCACCGATTCCTGTTGATCTACACCTCGGACACTTGACCTGATATTGGATCGACGACGGATTTAATGTCTAAACATAAGCTAGGCTTACACAAACGCTTGCACATCAGTTTATGTCTACCCGTCACGTTGCTTCCCCTGAGGTCAGCCCTGGCAAAATTCTCAAGGTAACTTTTCTTAGTAAATACTAACAAGAATATTCACAGTAAACCTAGGTTCAGCGGAGATATGGTCGGGGTGGATTGTAAGTTATAGAGGGACTGTAGTAGAAAACCATCTATTCTAATCAGGCTCCGGAGATGAAGACAGAGAACTATAGGCATTAGGTTGATACAGCTTGGACAGAGACTAGAGACAGTAGATTAAGGGCCACCGCTAGAGAGCCTTCGGGGCTATAGGATTCTAGCTATATAGTTTAGTCTGCTAACTGGCTGTAGATATGCCTTTGTCGGAAACTTCGGTTTGATTACTGTCGAGTATAGCTAGGATAGCTATTAATGGGCGAAGTTAATAGGCTTTTAAGGTTAAAAGGTCTTGGTAAATGAAAGAAATAAGAATAAGGCTATAAATATCTTAATTAATAGAAGATTGTATACTTAAGTTATTATAATTAATTTAAGATAATAGAAGAAAATTAAATATATAGTAAATAAGCATTCTTATATAGCTTTTCTCTATTATAGCTTTTATATTTATAGTCTGATAGTTATAAATAGGCCTTTATATCTTTAATAGCTCTAGTATATCTCTTATTATACCTTTATCTTAATAGATATAATAGTAATTTTATCTTATCTTATTTTAGTGTCTATAGTATAGTATATATTTTATTTTATAAATATTATCTTATTAATTAGCTATAATATTTTAATTCTTTGATAATTCTTTTCTCTAAAGGCTGGCATTTTAATAGCTTAATAAATAGCTTATATCCTCTAAAATATAGATAACTAATCTTAATTTTTTAAATATTCTAAATATATAATCTTATGGTTTTATGCTAACTATATCTTTAAAGTGAAATAAAATTATTAAAAATTATAATCTTATTAATAAAATTAAAAGATTTAAAATTATTCTTCTTTTTTCTTATAATTATTATTATTAATTAAATTATACTTATATAAAAACTAACGATTTTTTTTATTGCAATAACTATATTTATATAAGTAACTATAAGTATATTAAGATAATAAATTCTAAATTTTTATAAAAATAATTAATTACAGCTTAAGATAAAATTAAAATAAATAAGAAAAAGACTTAATAAGAAGTTATAGTCTTTATAGCTTATCTTTTTTATTTATAAAAATAAAAAAGGCTTCTCTAAAAATATGTAGATAAATTTCTTTAAATAGATATAAAGAATATTAAAGAGTTAGAAAGATTAAAAAAAGTAAAAAAAAAAATAAAAGTAAAATAAGTAAAAAAATAATAAAAAATTAAAAAGCTTTTAGTTATTATTTTTATTTTATAAAATAATAATCTTATTTTTAATATTAATTTTAATTCTTTTATCTTTTTTAATTATATTTTTATTTCTATTCTTAAATCTTCTTAGAGTAATTTAAGTATCTAATAAATTTCTATATATTTTTTTTAGATTTATATTCTTTCTATCTTATAATAGATATGTTCTTTTTTTAACTTATATTATAATATTCTTTTGACTTTATATTTCTTATTATCTACTATTTTATTTTTATTTATTAGATTAGTGATTAATTCTAATAATAAGATATAAAATATTAAGTATATTTGTATTCTTACTAATAGCTAGAGTTTATAATTATTATTTATAAGTTTTTTCTTAATAGTGAATAGTTTAAATTTAATTATATTAAATTTATTACTTAGTCTTATACTTTTAATATTAAAATTTTTTAATCTTAATATTTATTATAGAAGATAAATTCTCTTCTTTTTTTTAAATACTAATATATTCTTATACTTCTTATTATAATATCTCTTTATTCTTATTTCTACTTATTTAATGTTTTTTAATAAATTATTATATATTAATTGTATATATATTATTTAGATATTTATTTTATTAGATGCTTCTTTTTATTTAATATTTTTTTAATTTATTCTTAGAATTCTTCCTAGATTAGTAAAATATAATACTTATCTTATTAATATATTTATAGTATTATTTATTATAAATTAAATAATTAGTAGTAATTCTATTTAATTATTTTAATTTTAATCTAAATAATATTTTAGATATTATTTAATTGCTTAAATTATTCTTTTAATCTAATTATTAGTTTATTAATAATATATAGTTAATAGATTATATTTTATTTTATAATTTTTTATAATTATTTATTAAAATTTAGATATAAATAACTTATCTCTATTAGATATAATTTCACTTAATAGTTTAAATATTATAAATACTTTTTGTAATATTAATATTGTGTATTATTATACTATTAAATTCTTTAGTATTAGCTTTAAGATAATATATTTTGTAAGTTTATTTATAATAATAATAACTTTAATATATATAATTTCTAAAATAAGATCTTTTAATTCTAATAAGCTTTATATAAAATCTATTATAATTTTCTACTATGTTTTTATTAATATTTCTAGAATCTATATTCTTTTATAAGGTTGATAATTAATTAATTTATTATAATTATAACTATTATATTTCTTAATATAATTTTTAACTAATTTTCTTATTCTTAAGAAATAATATATTTATTATATCTTTTTTACTGTTTAATTAATTCTATAATGTTCTTTAATTGGTAAATTATAATTTATTTAAATAACTTTTATAATTATTAAAAATAGTATTAATATTAATTCTTTTTAAATAGCTAATCTATTTTTAATTACTGTTTTATTATTATATAGTACTATCTATAGTATTTTGTTATTCCTGGTAGCTTTTATTATTTTTTTATGAAAATCTTTGCTTTTTATTATAATTATTGTTGCTAGTATTACTTTATTATTATAATAAATTCTATTTTTATCTTCTATTAATATATTTATTTGTGGTTATTATATTCTAATTATATAATTTACTCTTCTATTTAATATATTAATAATAATATTTTCTTTTTCTTTAATATATTCAATTTGAAACTTAAATCTTGATAGATATTTTAATTATCTAATTTATTTACTAATAAGCTTTTTTGTTGTTATAAAGTACTTTAGATTATAATAATTACTTTTTATAATTATCTTTTCTTTAACTTCTTATAAGTAGTGTCTTTATTATTTAAATATTTTAACTATTATAAGTAGCTCTCTATTATAAATATTATAATTTCTTTTTATGATAGTAAATTGTTTAGAGTAGAAGATAATAGATTATAATTATTTATTATCTTCTAGTTATTTTAAAATAATCTTTAATATATATTCTAATATATTTACTTAAATTATATTTAGTTTTTTTTAATTATAAAGTATAAGAATTAGTGCTTTTTTAATTAATTCTTTAATTTTTTTAAATGCTTATTATTGTTATCCTATCTAATTAAAATCTTAATTTTTTTATAGTAACTTTATAATTAGTTATATTGTTTCTATATAGTTCTTTAAGTATCTTTTGATATATCTTATTATATCTAAGAATTATTATATTTTATTAATATTTATTAAGATAAGCTAGTTAAGTATTACATTTTTCTTTTTAAATTAGATCTTTAATTTTTCTAGCATATAAACTATTCCTAAATAATTGATAGTTATAATATTAAACTTATACTTTTTAATTTTAAGTGTTAATTCTTTATTCATAAGTACTATTATAATTAATTATATATGTTTTTCATATTTTTCTAGATTTTATGAGTATATAATAATATTATTAAAATAGACTATGATAAACTTATTTAAATATTTTTATAAAATATATATTATATATTATATAAATTATGCTAGTAAGTTTTTTAAATTTATTAGTATAATTACTTATTAAAATAATCTTTTATCTATAAGAAAAGCTATTTTCTAAATATTATCTTTAATTATTTATAGATTATAATAATCCTATTAAATATTAAAGATTATCATAATCTTTACTCTTTATAAAAGATCTTTTTTCTATTCTTAATAAGATATCTTATTTATATTATCTATTATTTTATTATTTAGTGCTTTATAATTAATAATTATCTATTTAATTATATCTTTTTTATTAATAAATATTAATTATATTGATGTTTTTCTATATTCTGGTTATATATATATTACTTTATAAAACTTATTAATAAATTTATTCTTAAGTTCTAGTTTATCTCTTAACTTATAATATTATTTAATTAATAGTAGTATAAATTCTTCTTTTAATTTGATTTATACTTTGAATTCTTTATTATATATTAATAATTACTATTCTTTTTTTATAAATAATTCAATAAACTTATAGTACTTTTTTAATAATTTTACTAAAACTTCTATAAATTCTTTTTTATATAATTCTTTTAGTTTTAGTTTTATTTTTTATATTTTTTTAGTGATTCTTATCTTATTAATTATTTATACTTATTAGATTATTTTAATTTTTTTTATTTTATTATTTTTTATTTTTTTTTTTCTTTTTATTACTTAGATTTCTTTAATTATTTTATAACTTTTTTATATTTTATACTTTATTTTTTTTATTAATATATTTAATATTTTTAGTAAATATTATCTTCTATTTTTATTCTTTTACTTTTTATACTATTCTTTCAGCTTCTAGTAATATACTAAAGATTTTCTTTAATTTTTTATATAGCTATATAATTTCTTTGATACTTTTTTTAATTATTTATATTTTTAATACTATTTTATTAATAATCATTACTTTCTTAATCTAATTAATTATTAGATTTTAAGTTTATAATTATATCATTTTAAATATAATATTATAATATTCTTTTAATATTAGTATGATA